ATGTTGAATGTCAAATTTGCAATAAATAAACGATATTCGTACAATTTATGAGATACTGGAAAAACGGACCTATACGAAAGTCGTGTACCCAAAAAGCCCATACGAAACGCCGCAAACATTATTTTTTCATTAATTTAAATGTATCATGCATTCATGCTTATGATTTATATTGCTGACTGATTAGGCGTAAATCAGATACCGGAAAGTGGGCTCACATCTATAAATCAATTGACTGCTGAGGGAAAGTGTTGATAATAATAATTTGCAGAATGATCATTGATGTTGACGATTCGGTGGTTGACAATGTTTATATTTTGATTTCGATAATCTTGTATAATATTAAATTAAATCTATTATGTGATAAAATCCTCACCGATTAGAAACCATGACAAAACATTTTGTCGTGGTATTAATGCAATTTGTAACATTTTAAATACCTAACCTATTAGATTCTACTATTTATAGTTTATAATAATACCTATGTACAATATACTGGCTTATTGCAAGGTTTTAACATTATTATGCTATAATCTTTATAAATTTGAATACATTTTTAAACTGAATGAAACTCTTTAAAAAAGTCTTTATTTTCTATTTGATTTGATTTATCGCTTTGAATAATGAAATGTGTAAACAGTTATCATAACAAGTTGTACTATACTGGTACCTACTTAAGTTTTAACCAATTTATATATTTTACCGATAGGTATAAAATATGTATCTGTATGCATAACATAATAATAAATTGTATGCATTTTAATGATCAAGCCAAGCACCTATATAAAAAGGATTTGTTAAATTTATTTCGGCTTATGTTTATTATTTTTAATAATTTATGTTAGGTACACATGATACATGCATCATTAATTTTATTATGTTTTTAAATTTAAACTAATGATTTTACTCAAATTTAATAAATATACTTAGGCGTGCACTTAGATAATACTTCTTAGTAAATTAAAACGACATTTTAAATATACCTAATTGTTTTTAAGCAACATAATGTAGGTTAAGTTTAGTTTTAATTTGTCGCAACTCGCAACCCATACGTTTATTGTCTCCGTCTTACGTCTAAACGTACGACATAGTAAATTTTCATTTTATACTAGATTAAATGGTGTGCTGTTAGTTAATAGTTTTGATAATATTAAAGTGAATTCTATTATTGAATATCTAGATAAGAACATTATCCAAGCTTTGGCTTTTATTCGATATTTTAATTTTCAAGGGAGATATATATGAGCATTTTAAATTTGTGATATTTCACATACCTATATCTTGCTCGAAAATTAAAATATCGAAAATCGCCTAAGCTTAATTAGTAATTACAGATAGAGTTCTTACCTAAAAGTTTGATAGTAGGTAAATTCACTTAGAGTATATCAATTATCAATATTATCAAAACTAGCAGCACACAATTGAATCTAGACTCTACAGTGAACGAACATTTGCCATGTCGTACGCGTGTAAGACGGAAACAATAAGTGCATACCTAACCTAACCTAACCTAACCTAACCTAACCTAACCTAACACCGAAGTAAATTAGTTCAAATTGTTAAAATAAAATATCTTAAAATATTATCCAGTTATTAAAATATATCATAAATTATAATAAACAAATTGGGTAGGTTACGAGAACACAAGAGAATGATAACGACAGTTATTGGCCGCGTTGACGAGTTATATTGGGTTTTGATAATCTGATTCTAAAATATAAACTCTGAAGTAAATAGATTTGTATATTAATTTTGTATATGCTGTGTAATTATTAGTAATAAAATTGACATTGTGCCTTATACATTATATTATAATTTATAATAGAATAATATAATATAATAGTATTATCATTGATTATATATAATCAATGGTATTATGTATAGCTGCAGTAGTCGTCGTCTGCGGTCAGTGTATGAAACGTATATTATCTTTTCATGGGTAATTTCACGTGATATACAAAATAGTAAATACTATACCTACCTACCAACTTAGTATTAAATGCATAATATAACTGTTGTATACAGTGCCGCATTTAGACATTTTGAGCCCCGGTGCAAAAAAAAATTGGCTCCCCCCCCCCCTAAGGGGCCTACCCACTTAAAATATGGGAGATAGATCCTTATAAACCTTTTGAATTTTGAGCACAGAAAAGAATATATTTTGTTGTACGATGTGTGCTTTTTTTTAAAAAATATTGCTTAGTAATTTCTTGATCCTCTCTCCGCAAAGATACATTTGAATTTATGTCACTTAAACCTTGCTTATAATTCATCATATACGTTGTTTTTTTTAATATATTTATGTAGGTACTTCATGAATAAATAAAACAAAATAATATAAAACTATGCAAATTAATATTAATTAAAAAAATTCAAACAGTATAATACTATACATATAGTACTATTATACTAAATTATATTATTATCTAATACTGTTATTAAAATAATACAATTTTAATAATTCACAAGTAAACAAATTTCTGACCACATAATTTTGGCGCCCCTAAAATACTGGCTCCCGGGGCAAATGTACCCAGCGACCTCCCCTCAATGCGGCCCTGGTTGTATAACATATTATGTATGTAGATTAATTATTATTCTAAAACAGTATACGCAAAAATAATAAAATATCAAATTTGTATAATAAATTTGTATAACCTTGTGTTTATCTGCCTCCACATAATATGATCAGAAATAACCATGTTCCTACATTAAATATTAACGCACCAGCCAATAATAAATTATGGAATATTGACCACATAATTGATTAAATATTTTATTCTGTGTATTGACTAACAATATTACCTATATTATTTTATATTTTATGAGTTTATGACTATTTTGAATTTATTTGGAAAAGTAAAATAACCGTCTATCTATTATATTAAGTTAATTTGGTTTTCGAACACAAAATGTTAAAATGTATGTTGCGTATATGATATTATAATATTCAATACGTATTTATATACGTAAAAAACGATCTAGATAATTTAATAAAGATAATGAAATTTTCATCTAGATGAAATTGCAACACTGGCACTGATGAGTTTTTTAAATATCATGACATACCATTGGCTGATAGGCCCACCGGGAAATCGGAATTTTCCCGATAGGCCCTCGTCTGTGTATTATGTCGAGGTGGCCCTGACTTCAGCCCCGGTACTAAAAAATTGTACAAATATGAGGCCCTAACAAATATTTCCCGGCACGCCAAAAATTGCCCATCCGCTCATGTGACATACTATTTCAATGCGATCAGTTGCCCGTGTTTACCTGCCAATAAACGCATACAGCACATCGGCATAGCCGTTATTTGATCGCAATAAATAATTATTATTGTAATAGGTATAATTGTCTGTATTTGAATTGAAAAACAACATAGTCCTGAATGTTGAATTATTGTATAATATCCCCAAAACAGAAAATAATTTTTAAACTATTATTTTAGTACCTATATACAGGGTGCGGCAGTCAAATCCGACGATTTGAAAAAGTAAAAAAAATAGAAAAAAATTTTTTTATTAATTTTTCGCCAAACAAATACAAATTACACAAGTGGAATTTTATGTTATACATTTAAAAATTTCATTTTTTAAAGATTGTGTCAGGCAAATGCCTTCCTTGGTTAGCCACACATTACTACTACATAATATATATCATTACTTTTGTAATACGCTTTTACCTCGAACGCTCCATGATAACTAAATTCCGGGTATTTAAAAGCGATAAGAATTTTCCCGAAAACTCTACCACTTTAGCCACGCCCACCAGTTAATTTTAAATAGTCGGGTGTGACTGCCTCACCCTGTAAATTACTTTATATGCCTAATTCCTATAATTACCTAAAAGTGAAATAATTTCAGTGTTTAAAAATTATGATTAATTCACGGTAGCTCCATAGGCGGAAATCCATTATAATTTCAGGGGTGGCTAACATTATTAACATCAATGTGAGCGGAGGGGCTTCGATCCTACAAAAAAAGCCCTCTTAATCCCCCCCTCCGATTTCCACCAATTAGTGGCTCTCACAGCGGAATTCCAGTCATAGACCACAAATCGCAATCAAGTCAATGTAATATAATATAAATGTATATTTGTTTCGTTCACTGAGTTTGTGGATGTTGGGTCTGTCGTACTTTGGCGTGTCCCTGCAGAGGGAATGAGAAAGGAGAGTACCTCCCCTCCGTGGACCATGTGATGTATTATATATCTGTCATCATAATAGGTAGGTAAACCTATAGGTAAGTACATTTTTTAAATCTAGTATTTAGCAAAATTTTAGCGTAATTTAGCAAAATATAAGATTTATTTAAATATTCCCCTCACTCTCCGTGGAATTAATCTCCAGACGCCCATGGACTCGTACCTGACAATAGTTTCGGTAAACTTCATTCCGAAAACAATAACAACAACAACAACAGCAACAACACAACAACATCAACAAACAATATCACGCGATTTACTTGTCCTCAGGTCGGCGTACCCATCATGGCGAATAGCTAAAAATATTATCCGACAATTTAACAATATTATAATATATTATTATAAATAACTGTTGTATTGTATATGAGTTAAAGGGGCGACCCCCGGGGTGCGCGTGCGCACGGCGACGACGCGACCGTTGACTGGCGGCGGCGAGCGAGCGACTTGTCGCGCGACTAGACTACGAGTTACAACCACCATCACACACACAAACGCGCGAGCGCACTCACACTTATACACACCGTGCCGTAACTTTTCAGTTTTCAGTAGTCTCGTGGCCGTGTCGCCGGTGCGGTGTGCGCGCCTGTCTCGTCGTTCCGTATCGCGAGCGCGCGTCTCACGTTTTTTTTTTTTCAAATTCGAGTTTTCCGATTTCCTTTCGTTTCTCCGCACAAACGATAATTCCCCGGTCTCGGCCGCCCGCGATATAGTAGTGCGGTGCGACACAGTTTTCGCAGGTGTTGGTGACGTCGTCGTCGTCGTCGTCGTCCACAACGCGGCCGTGCAACGCACCACCACCGATGCCGGCGCACGCGGTACCTTCGTCGCTGCCGCTGTTGTTGCCGCCGCCGCCGGCCGTCCAATACGCCCCCGCGGAACCGCGGTTCCGGCGGTGCGTTCGCAAGTTCTTCGCGCACCTGTTCAGCAATCTGGGCCTGTTCGGGCTGGTGGCCGGTTACGTGATCGTCGGCGCGTTCGTGTTCCGTTTCCTGGAGGCCGGCAACGAGCGGCAACAGCGCGACCGCATCGGACGGCTCAAGAACGACTGCTTGGGCGAGCTCTGGAACATTACAGGTACATATGCAGACTATAATATTCTACTGGCGGACAAACATTTAACTAATCAATATAGTGATCTCTAATGGTCCCTTAGACAAGAGTCAGTGGCCCGAGATTGGTCCATTAAATTTTTAGCGAACCATTAAATTTAAAAAAATTGTTTATGCAACCCGTTTTTTATTTTGTTGAGGTCGTCGTGTCGATAGGTATCACCCCCAAATAAAATTGTATTTTGTCTTATAAGATTCGGCGGGACCATCGGACTGGTGTCGGCGAGTTCCATCGAATGACAGGGATGTCGATTTTAAATGATATTTTACTTAATATTACATTTTATTTCGTCCGAGGCGGTGTTTCAATGTTTATCAGACTTATTTTTCGTTTTACATGCTATAAACACTGATGGTTTTTACTTTTTTTTTTACTTGCACACAAGTCGTTGAATTATCAATGAACGTTTGACATTGCGTGGTATGGCAGAAATTAATATAAAACTGAAGATTATTTGAAAATACGATAAAATAAATATCAGTCATAATGACGTAGGTATAGTGTGTCAATAAATAGGTATCTGCCATGGACTTGGAGGCGGACGATTATTATAGGTATATAATATTTTCCTATTCGAATCGTAAACATATTTTGTTATATCATTACAATAAGGCACCGTGCACAAAATATAACGTCTTGCAGAAAACTTTTATTGATAGCACCTAACCTATAGGTATATACTATATATAGAGTAATATTATTGTTATTTATTGTCGTGAATACACAAAGTGAACGTGATGAGCATAATGCGTATATTAAAAACAAACACAGCTCACGACAAAGTACATTTTCCGAATTCTTGTGGCCACCCTAATTTATAACGCCTCGACGATGCACACGCGTATACCTACCCTGATGATAATATTGTGTTTACATGTTTATATATTATGTACCTATTTAGTACGATAATGTATGTTACCACTTACCGTCAAAGAACGATTTATGTTCAAAGTTTGCGCTCGCGGTAACCCAGGTAAATGTAGGCATTTATTAATTACATAGCGATAGTGATACCAAGCTTACCTTGCCGGGACCAGAAATTGTGTTTACTTTGGGAATACACCAACAACATTCTGTGCGTAACATCTATACATTTCGTAGCTACAATTTGAACATCCCAGGAATTTTTCAATTTAAAAGCTATTTTTAGTTACCATCGCACTGCTGAGAGTGCATGGTACCTGTACCTATGAGGCTTTATGTAGTTACTAGTTACTTATATAATACATAATATGATTACAAAATTATCACTCGATAATATGGTAAAATTCATAATAAAAACAACGCCTATTATTATTAGATTTAATTAATATTTAATGTGTATAATTCGAACCAATTTTAGATTCTAAGCTTACCGATTAATGTGTTGATTGTACTTGTACAATGTGTGTCTACAGAAGCATTTCTAAATTAAAAAATATTCTGGTTATCAACTTTGGTAGAGGTTTTTAGTTAAGAATTGTATCGAATTAGTACTTTTGGGAGGTAAAAATTGAAAATTAAAAAGTAAATTAAAGTAGGTACTTTTAAGTACTTTTTAAAAACAAAAAAAAGAGGGAAGTGGATGTCCCTCTGCTGTACAGTAGGTTACAAGCAATCTAGTGCTATGTAATATACATTATACAATATATACACCATGTAAAACCATTAGCTTCCTCGCTCCTCTCTGAATCTACAATTCGTTAAAATGTTTATATTATTATAAAAATAATTGTTTAGTAACCTTGGTTACTAAAAAGTTAGATCGTCTTTTATTTATTTAAGTTTTTTTAAGTATATAATTATGTTTTTGTTTCATTTTGTTTTCGACCGATTTGTCTTAAGATTTTCGCTTTCATTAACAAGTAAACTATCTGGAAGGCACTAAGATTCTAGATGTATTATATTATATTATTTATATTTTAGATATAATATAATATTCTAGATTCCAGGTAGGTGCCTACTAGATTCTCCTAAAACTTCCATTTCTGTATATCAAGCTTATTTTTTAAACGTGTCTGTGTTCATATCAAATTATATTTAATAAAATATAATTCATCAAATATTGATGATACAGAAATGACTGTATTTTTCTCATCTACCATGTATCTACATCGAATAGTAAGTATTTGGGTATGTGTGCATTAAACGTTTAGTTAAAAGTTCAAAAACATTTATTATACTCACGTCTTTGACCACCAATTGCATTGAAATCATAATAACCGACGTCGACTACTAAAATCTATAGTTCACCACCATTATTATTATAATATACCGTAACTATTCTATAGTTATCGGGCTATCGTATACCCATATAGGAAATACAAGAAATTATTATGAATCAATCATATCTTTTCTCGTGTGCATCGTTGTGTTTTCTACAGCTCGATCGTCTAATTCGAACAATATTCCACGATCGTACAACACGCATCGGTGTATTCGCCGTCATTGGAATAATTATAACCAGTGGTCGAAGTGGGGGGGGATATGGAGGGATGACATCCCTCTACTTATTTTGTCTAGAATAACGCATTCCTCCTAAGACTTGTGTTTTAAAATGAAATAATTATTATGATTTTTTTATTTATACCTATGTATAAGAAAACTTTTTATTTTTCGTATAGGCCGTTTCGCAATCATATTATCTATACCCGTATTTAGAGCCACGGATTAAGAATTTACATATACCTTAGTCGTGTTTAGAGCTAATAATTATTTTAATACACAAACAATAACAATATTGATGATTAGGACGTAGCACTAGAAATGTAAAATTCGTAATTCTGACAATTTTTATATGATAAATGTGTCTAAATTTCCACAAAAAATTTAAATAAAAATCTTACCGTTTTTTTGAAAATTGAAACCTGTTGTTTAAGATTCTTTGATCGACAAGATGTAGTTCTGGCATAACAAAATTTATAATAAATACTAACATAAGAATGTTGATATCCGGATTTGATGTAGCATCCTCCCTATTTAGCATTCGACATGATTATAACAAATTAAAAAAACACCACCTTTGCCGGTGTAATAAACCTTGGGACGCCGCCGACGATCGCGTCGCGGCAAATGTCGTCGGAAGTTTAATTGAACCGAAGTGTATGCGAATCGATGCGGTTTTTCCGTTACCGCCGGCTAAACGATATGAGGTCCCTTTTATGCACGTACAATATACATAATAATACGTGTATTGTGTATACAATCGTCTAAGTACATTTTGTCGTTTGACCTGCAGGGCCTCGAGCCCTCGATCTTTTTTCGAGCGCATCTATTACCACTATAATATTATATTATGCTTTAGAGGTTATACGCACTATTATAATACCTCTACGTCGAAATCCTCCACCCATCACCTCCCCTCCCCCCCCCGGAAATGCGGTCGCCCCAGAAACAACTCGGAACCGGAATAGCGAGGAAATGTTTTCGTACCGTCCGCGAGCGTCAGTTTTCCCAGAGCAAACTTTGTACACACACGCCAAACAATTAACCTACTTAAGCGCTAAACAAATACCTCTAAAAAGTCCCCACAACGGGGACGCCGTGTTAATGCGCACTGACACCACTTGTTTTCACGAATTTTTTTCTTACAGCTGGAAAGACTTGATGGGAAATCGTTCTTTTAAAACAATACAGTTTATTATTACATCGGTTACATTAATATGTTGTCGGGATTAAATTATATCTCCCCCCCACCCAACCAAGAATTTAGTCTCTAGCAGAATCAGTGGTTAAATATATGTAAATATCACACTTTTACATAGAACCTAAAACTGGGCATATGTATAAATTATCTAACATGTGTATCTAAACTATTACCTAATATTTAATGTATTCCGTTTTGATTTTTATGTTTTTGAGTCTAAAATGTATCAATCATTTGCTATCCAAATGTTTTCTTTATGAATTTTAAAAATCATTATACAATATCATATGTCAATAATTAAATTACTAAAATATTTTATTTCCTCAGTGACGGTAAATATTGGTAAGTAATGAACCATAATGAATAAAAAATGATCAGATCCATCTATAAAGCGATAACAGATTCACATATAATATATTAAAATGAAGATTATATTTAAGTACCTAGTATGTTCTAAACAGGTGGTTTTTAGGGGTATATATGACCATGAGATACTTATGATAACTATATTACTTGTGATAATTTCGACTAAGTATTACCCACTGGCTTCTATAACGTATGCTATTATCATACATCAAATAGTTTACGTTGTATAGCAATAATAATTTCTATTGTTTTTCTTGGCGCTTTTGAAAATTACTGTGAATTTTAAATGTGTATCTCCCTGACGCACCAACGATATTCACTTTCCAATCGAACAAGATACTGAAGTTGAAAATCGAATCATTATTTCGACTACTTATCGTGTAGTCAGACACAAAAAAAAAATAAAAAAAAAATAAAAAAACACACATCATTGTAAAATCTCAGAATCTAAAATACGGTTGATACGTAAAGGGGGAGCACATAAAGATGACGACATAGAAAATTTGTATAAGACCGGAGATCGAACAATCCCGTATTTAATAATTAGAAAGAATGAATGGAATAGAGATTGAGATGGAAGAGTAATCATTACGTTTTAAGATTTTTAAAGATAATATTTATCCATGTGTTTTGTTGATAGACATATTACAAAATAGCTGGATTCGTCCTTAAAAGTCGTTATACGTCATCACATGTGTGGAACAACACACGAGTGTAAAAAGACATTTATGGAATAAAAAGACATCCCATGAATACTTTAACATATTCATTAATCATTATATATTTATGTCATTACTAAATTAAAAGTTAATCTTAGGGGTCGTGCAGGATTTTGGAATTTATGACACTTATTATGGTATACTGTACACGTATTACAACGTAGATAAATTAAATTAAGTTAAATATTTTCATTGTAAATCAGTGCTCGCTATAAAAGTTGTATTACAAAAATAAAGTGTAGAAGAATGTTCAAGATATTCTGTAACGAGGTGAACATAATTTAAAGAAATTTAAATTTCCATTCGTTTATCATTTTTTAAC